GCGCCGCTGGACGCCGAGCCCGAGCGCGCCGGCAGCTTCGTGGAGATGATCGACAACCTGCGGGGCAAGTCCGGGCAGGGGTACTACGTGGAGATGACGGTGGGCAGCCCCCCGCAGAAGGTGAGGTGGGAGGGGATGGATCCCCCGCATCTCTCGCATCCCCCGCATCTCCCGCATCCCTCTGCATTCCCCGCATCCCGGGGGGCTGCGAGTCCCCCTCCGGGGGCGCAGAGCAGAGGCTCTGCGGGTGCCACCATGGCTGCGCGGCTCTCGCTGCACAGCCCGCGCTTCCCGTCGCTCCTCATCGCTCGGGTGATGCTTTTCCTGCTGCCTTTTGGTGAACACTGGCCGCAGGCGCCCGCCGAAGGTCACCCCAGCATTCCCGGGCTGCCCGGGCACTCCGGGGAGAGGCAGCGGGTGCTGCGTGTGCCTCTGCGTGCGGGGCTGCATCCCTCCATCCATCCCTTCCCCCTTCCATCCCTCCCTCCCTTCTTCCATCCATCCCCTCTCCCGAGCCAAAGCTTGCTGCCACTCAGGCAGTCGCCGTGTGTGGGCAGCGAGGGATGTGGCTGCACAGCCCCGCGCCCGCCTGGAGCGGGCACAGCCAGGCACGAAGAAGCCACGGCCAAGCCGTGCTTGGCACGTTCCTCCCGGCGCAGCCCCTGGCGCAGCTGCTGCCCGGGTCCCTGTGCCGCTCCCGACCCGGGGAAATTCTCCAGAAATTCTCCGGAGCTTTGTTTTCCCGGGGATCTCGTGCAGGCTGTCGCTGCACAGGAGTCAGGGCGACATGGGGAGGCAAAGGGTAGGAAAATGGGGTGGCCTGGCTGGAAAGGGAGCTGGTGCATCGCCAGCTTCTTCTCCATCTTTCTGTCAGCGTCCCTCGCGTCCTGGAGCTGCGCTGCCCAGCTCACGTTGTGGCACCGTGTGCCTTCGTGCTGGGGACAGGATGGGTGCTGATGGCCAGGTCACACAGCACGGGGAGAGCAGGGGAGAGCAGCTCCTCCCCACTTTTATGGGTGAGATCGTGGAGGCTCCTGCTGCCAAATCCCTTTGTGCCCGTACTGATCCCCACTGCTGCCTGGCTCAGGGACTGGAGCGGGCCAGCCCAGCGCTCAAGGCTCCACACTCCTCCCAGCACGGGACCACGTTCCCTTGTGCCTGCCACCGCCACTTTTTGGGTGCTGCCAAAACACCCAGTGCCCACGCAGGCTCTGAAATAAAGGCTGGCTTCTCCCCACGAGCTGTGCCCTGTGTGTGTGGTGGGGGAGAGCCATGTGAGCGAGACGTGAGCCGTGGACAGGAGAATAATGTCACCACCACGAAAATCGGATCTCTGGGAGCGGTGTCGTGTTGTCCCTGTGTGCCTGGGATTTATTCTCCGCTCTGGCAGGGTGCATTTAGGGGGAAAAAAAAGGGAGGAGATTATTTCTAAAATCTAGTTTTAAATGTGATTTCATCATCTCCTGCCTGCCACGTGTCGCAGCTGCCAGATAATTTCCGTGCTAACCACCTGTTCCCAGGCACTCGTGCGTTCCGGAGCCAGTCGCCCTTTTGGGCAGCATCTTCCAGCCTTGGATTGCTTCCAAATGTGTGTGTGTGTGCTGGAGCAAAATCCCTCCAGGCGTTGCAATGGAATTAAAAGATTCATATGAAAGAGTTTGGCTGTGCCTTCGCAGGAAATCAGGGGCATATTTGTCCCGAGGGGTGCGTGCATCCTTCCCAAAGGGTCACATACAGCAGGGAGATGGTGATCCATCTCCTCAGCTTTCCTTTCACCTTCCTGGTGCTGACAAGGGAGTTTCTGTATCCTCTTGTGCTTTAATTTTGGTTCTGGGCTGTGCTGCACTGCCAAGTCACCGTCAGCAGCCGATTGCTCACACACTCCATGTGCCCAAGCGTGTTGGTTTCCCTGGCTCCCCAGGACTGGCTGATTCATAAACACAGAGGGAAGAGGGGTGAGACAAGCAGCGGGAGCTGGTGTTTTGGGACAGATGGCACAGGCTTAGTCCCCAGGAGCGGCACTGAGCACTAGGACACGCGTGGCACAGAGCCAGTGCTGCTGCGGAGGTGCCCGGAGGGGCTGTCACTTCCAGGGACAGGTTTCAGACAGCATCCCTGTCACACATGTCCTGGCCTCGCCGGTTCACGTGCTGTGTCCTGGCCTGAATGGATGGCTGGGCTGAGTCTCAAGGATCCGGGTCCTCTCCACGTGGGTCCTGTGCGTGACCCTGTCAGCAGGATGGAGCCTGCGAGAGCAAAACCCCTTCCTCCCTTCCTTCTCTCCCTGTAGCATCAGCTCAGCAGGTCTTTCTCCAGGGAAACCTGTCTCCTCTGGGTGCCCTGGGGGTTGGAGACGAGCTCTGTGGAGCGGGTGGCCCCTGGTGACCCACCCACAGAACTGGGAGCAGCCCCGGGAGCGGCGCGGGCGCAGGTGCCGGTTGCCAGGGGAAGGTCGGGCTGTGCAGCAGGAGCTGAGCTGGCACTCACCCAGGGTGGATATTGGAGGGGCAAATGCGCTGCTCTGATCTTTACCCATGGCCTGAAGCATTCCCCGTGGCAGGAAGCTGGCCAGGGGAGGCCGTCCCCCAGTGCAGGGCAGCAGGGCTGGGGCACAGGGCACCCAGGACATGGCAGCCCCTGTCAGGTGGCCGTGGAGAACACTCAGCAGCTGCAGCCCAGCACTCCTGCGATTAGCACAAGCGCATTAACCTCCTTCTCTGCCCTCTGACTTCACAGATTAAGGGCCCGAGCCCTGGCAGTGCTGGCTGGGGTGGTGCTGTGAAGCAGCCCCCGGGGCTGGGGTCAGGGCTCACCCCAGGCACTGCTGCCCTGCAGGGCTTGGAGCCCCATTCCCACCCCAGCAATCCCGCTCCAGCAATCCCACTCCAGCAATCCTGCCCTGGCAATTCCACCCTGGCAGTGCCACCCCGCTCCCCGCAGGGGCCACAGGCAGGGGTCGGCTGGGGGCAGGATCCAGCTGCCCTGCTCCCGGCCCTGCCGGTGGGATGTTTGCCAAACCTGGTAATCCCGCACAGGCAGGAATGAATCGGGAGCAGGGCTCGGCATATGGGTGGTGATTAGCGGGCGCAGCGATCCTTCCCACCAGCTCTGCCAGCAAATCAGCTTTCCTGGCAAGGGGAGCCTATGCACCCCGTCTTGCTGCTGCTCTTCAGACCCATGGCACCTGCCAGGTGCTTCCCAAATCCCATGGACTGGGGGGCTGAGGCCAGGCCATGCTGAGCGAGGAGCTCATGCTCTGTTTGCACAGTGCCGGACAGTGTTTGCTTGTTGTTCAACACCCTGATGGCGCTGCCTCCTGCTCCTCCACCTTCTTCTCTCCTCTCTGGGCACAGCAAAGGAGGGTCCCACTGCACTCATTCACCTCCCTGTCTCTCTTCCCCAGCTGAACATCCTGGTGGACACAGGGAGCAGTAACTTTGCCGTGGGAGCTGCGCCACACCCCTTCCTCCGGAGATACTACCAGCGGCAGCTGTGAGTATGTGGGGGGACACAGAGCAGAGCACTGTCCCAGCCCCACAGTGGCACACTGCCCCTTCTTGCTGGGGGTCTGGCCAGACCCTGCCAAGTACCAACTGGCCTCTGGAATAGCAGGATCCACACGGCCCCTTCCAGTCTTACTGGTCCCTTTGATGCCTTTGCAGGTCCAGCACCTACCGCGACCTGCGGAAGGGGGTGTACGTGCCCTACACCCAGGGCAAGTGGGAAGGGGAGCTGGGCACTGACCTGGTCACCATCCCCCACGGCCCCAACGTCACTGTCAGAGCCAACATTGCTGCCATCACGGAGTCAGACAAATTCTTCATCAATGGCTCCAACTGGGAAGGGATCCTGGGGCTGGCGTACGCCGAGATTGCCCGGGTGAGTCCTGGCTGGCAGCAGCACGAGCTGGATGTGAGCATGAGCAGGCTTCAGCTGCCTCTTCCCTCGGCTCTGTTTGTCCCCTGGGGCACAGCAGTCCCAGCGAGGGGAGCTCCCCTGGGCACGGAGAGCCCCTGGAGAAGGGGCAGCACTGACACATCCCTGACCTGCCTCTGCTTTCTCCTCCCACCAGCCTGACGACAGCCTGGAGCCCTTCTTTGACTCCCTGGTGAAGCAGACACGGGTGCCCAACATCTTCTCCCTGCAGCTGTGTGGGACGGGCTTCTCTCCCAACGAGACGGAGGCCGTGGCCTCGGTGGGAGGCAGCATGGTGAGGGCTCTGCAGGCAGGGGGAGGCTGCCAGGGGCTCCCACGGGGCTCTGGTGGCACGTGGTGGCAGCGCCTTTGTGTCTCCGCTGCAGATCATCGGTGGCATCGACCGCTCGCTGTACGTGGGGGACATCTGGTACACCCCCATCCGCAAGGAGTGGTACTACGAGGTCATCATTGTCAAGCTGGAGGTCAATGGTCAGGACCTGAACATGGACTGCAAAGAGGTGAGGGGATCCCAGGGCACCTGCTCCCCCAGGCTCAGCTGGGCCACGGCGCTGGAGGGACCTGCTACTGGTTGGAGGGGTCGGGAGGGGAGCGGGGCTGGGGTCCTGCACCTGGGTCACCCCTCCTCTTCTGCCCCCAGTACAACTACGACAAGAGCATCGTGGACAGCGGGACCACCAACCTCAGGCTGCCGAAGAAGGTGTTTGAGGCTGCAGTGAAATCCATCAAAACAGCTTCTTCGGTCAGTGAAACCCACCTCTTCCCCACGGGCACATCCCCAGGCCTGTGGGCAGCACAGCTGCCCCTTACCAGCCTGGCATCTCTGCTGCCTGCCCAGCTTGGCTCCGCTCACCTCCTCTTTCCCTCTGGCAGACGGAGAAGTTCCCGGATGGTTTCTGGCTGGGGGAGCAGCTGGTTTGCTGGCAGGTCGGCACCACCCCCTGGCACATCTTCCCAGTCCTGTCCCTCTACCTGATGGGGGAGGCCACCAACCAGTCCTTCCGGATCACCATCCTGCCCCAGGTGAACGTTGGCCCAGCCAGAGTGGGCTGGAGCGGCAGGACCAGCCGGACCACGCTGGGTGGGCACAGCTGCCTCCCTGCCCCCTTTCCTGACGGCACCTCTCCCCCTGCAGCAATATCTGCGCCCGGTGGAGGACGTGGCCACCTCTCAGGACGACTGCTACAAGTTTGCCATCTCCCAGTCCTCCACTGGCACCGTCATGGGCGCCGTGATCATGGAGGGCTTCTACGTGGTCTTCGACCGAGCCCGCAAGCGCATCGGCTTCGCTGTCAGCGCCTGCCACGGTGAGCACTGGGCCCGGAGGGAGGGAGAGAAGGGCAGAGGGGCCGTGGGAGCGCAGCAGCCAGAGCCCTGCCTTATCCCCAGCAGTGCACGACGAGTTCCGGACGGCGGCGGTGGACGGGCCCCACCTGCACTCCAACATGGAGGACTGCGGCTACAACATCCCGCAGACGGACGAGTCCACCCTGATGACCATCGCCTACGTCATGGCGGCCATCTGCGCCCTCTTCATGCTGCCCCTCTGCCTCATGGTGTTCCAGTGGCGCTGCTTCCGCTGCCTGCGCCGGGACCACGACGACTTTGCCGACGACATCTCCCTGCTGAAGTGACGGCGGAGCGCGGGGCCGCAGGTGAGGTGGCGGGGCAGGGGCCTGGCTCCGGGGGCAGGACAGCAGCATGGAGAGCTCAGACCCTCTGCCCAGGACTTGGGGGCTCGGTGTGTGTCAGGGCTGGCAGCCGGGAGCGGCTGTGGGAGCCCCAGGTCTGGGCTCTGTTCGTCTGGGACCCGCAGCAGGAGCGTGGCAGAGGGGGAGAGTGCAGCAACCCTGTCCTGGGGGCTGGGGACAGGCTGTCTCAAGCTCTCCTGCCTGTCCCTGCCTGGCTTGACCGAGTGACACTGATGAGCCATCCCCTGCCTGTCCCTTTCCATCCCTTTGCATCCCTTCTCTGCTCACCCCCCCAGGAAGCCGCTGGCCCAGGCTCTCTGTGCAGGGAGCTGCACGCACGTGCCCTGTGGCTGTGCCTTCCCCGTGGCTCCCTGCACTGAGCTGGACTCTGGGGATCATCCCAGAGCCTCCCCAAAGGGCCAGCCTGGGGCTGCCCGGACACATCTTTCCCTCCCACCCTCCTGCTCCCCCATACATGGCTCACCCCTGTACACTGCTCACTCTGGCATTTCCCTGCCCTCCTAAACTGCCCCTCGCTGCTGCCAGCCCCAGGACTCCCTGTGCCCACCCTGCCCTCCTAACACAGGCAGGAGCAGCCACTCATCCTCTCCCAGGACTGGCAGGAGCAGGCACTCACCCTCTCCCCACTCCCTGCAGGATGGGCAACTCCCTGCCCTCCCTTCCAGCATCAGCAGCGGCTGCCACAGAGGAGCCAGTGCCGGAAGAGAACCAAGTTCCCGACCCTGGCACCGGCTGCTCCCCAGCCCACCCACCCCTTCAAAAGCCATAGGGGAGCCTGGGCCCCCCCTGCAGCCCCCCCGGCCTCACCTCCAGCACGTCCCACGTCGGGGCACGGCGGCTCCTCTCCGCTCACTCCACGTGTCCAGGCCCCGGCTGTGGGACACCCTGGCAGCCTGGGGACAGGCAGCAGCTGTGGGGACTGCAGCATTTATTATTTTTTAAACACATGGTTGTATTTATTTCATTTTTTTTTTACGAAGCGAGTCACTGGTGGCGCAGTCGGAGCGTGTACATAGCAGGTCCCACCCGTGCGGGTGTGCAGACAACAGCCGCCTCTCACCTGTACAATATACCCATATATCTCTATTTTTAATTCTAGCCCTGGAAGCCACTGTTCCAAACCCAACATTAGGGGTCGGTCCTGTTTTGTTTTCAGGTTTTTTTAAATCTTTTTAGCCCTCTGCTCAGTCCTTGGGCCATGACCACCACCCGTGGCACCGCAGTGATGTGCTCGGTGGGAGCACGTGATGGTGAGGGGGTTTGAGGAGGAGGTGCAGGAGGAAGGCCGGGCTGGAGCACACAGGGCAGTGGCTCACAAGCCGAAAGGACACTGAGCACTTTTGTCCTCGTGGTGTTCCTGCAGCACAGGGAGGATTTTCCGGTGTGTGAGGACAACCCTCCTCCCCTCCTCCCCGTGCTGCAGGATCACCGTCCCTTCCCCAGGGCAGACACCTGTGACCTTGCAGCAGTGGTAGTGCTGTATTCCCTTGCTTCTCTGCCTCCAGCCCGGATAGGAAAGTGCTTAAACTCCGAGATTCCACAGTTAAAAGGCATTGCAAAGAGGGCCTACCTGCAGTGCCAGGGCCGAGCTGGCAACTGCCCCACGGAGCCACGTGCAGGAGCGGAGTGACCAGGTCAGGCGGGGACAGGCTGAGGGACCGCAGCAATCGCCGAGTGTAAAGCTTGTTAACTAAATCCTGCAGATAAACATTTCTTTGGAAAAGCAGCGAGGGAGCCAGGAAACACACGCAGTGTAGGAGGAAGCCAGCCCTCGCACGGGCACCGCCACAACAGCCCCCACACTGTCCCACCTCACTCCCAGTGCGCTCACACAGCACCCGCCCCCCACCCACCCCATCCCTGCTCCAAAACTGCATCCAGCCACTCCACGCAAGAGGGCAACGTTCTCTCCCCCACCCTCGTGCCTGCCCAGGACCCCCAGGACCCCAGAGACTCTGTTGTGGACCACTGCCTTAAAACACGCTGCCGGCGTGTGCGTGCGCGGAGAAGGATCTGCGGCCGAGCTCAGGTGCTGCACCAGGGGGGCTCCCCTGCCCACCCCGAGGCAGAGGGGCCTCCAGCAGCGCCGAATTCCTGCTGCAGACTGCAAAGTAGGGGGGGAAAAAAAATTTTTAGAGAGTCAGTGCAAGATTTTCAGTGGTGCTGAGCACCTCGTAATCCCACCGGAATCCATGGAGAAAGGGTTGGTGCCTCAGCCCGTGCTTTAGGAGAAAGTAGAGGAGAGGGGAAGCCAGGAATTGTGACAGGTTGGTTTATCCTGAGCTGCAGCGCAGCCGTGTCCGTCCACTCCCTCCCCAGGGCCCGGTGACAGCAGGGGATGGGACAGGATGGGACCAGGGGCTGTCGCTGGAGGCTCCAGTACTCTGTAACCCAGTGTCTATGTAAGAACAATGAATGTTAACACGGTAAATTATTATGACATTAAAAAAGACCACAAAAAAAAAAATCTTTATCTGCAACCTGTTCATTGCCAAGAGAGGGGGAAAAAAGCAGGTGATGACTGGCAGGGGACCGGGCCACTGGGGAATGGGGTGGTGAGGCATCCAGTCATGGGGGATGGCCCTGGAAAAGGAGCTGCTGGGATCCACGTGGGAAAAGGAGCCATGAGTGTCCCACCAAGCGGGTGACACTAACTGACTCATTTGGAAGAAGTCAGTGAGGCTGCAGACTTAAGAAATGAGGAGCAGCAGCAAATCACTGCATAATATACACACTTTATTTATGAATTTGTATGTATACAGACTTTCTATACACACATTACCTATATAATAAAAATGTACATGTGTATACATGATCGTATAAATATAGAACTGTAGAAATCTTAGAACTGATCCTGTCTATTCACAGCAACTCCTCCCGTGGGCCCACGTTGTTCCAGCAGCCGTCATTTGAGGCTTGGGCAAAAGGGGCAAGTGTCATTCGTGTTGGTTTGCGCCCAGAATTTGATGCACTGGAAGAGAAGAGAGTTAGTCAAGAGCTACTGGCACAACCCAGAGGTGTCATTGTCCCCAGCAGTGCTGCCAGGGCACTCGTTTTCAGGGATAGGTTCCTTTGCTCCTGGCAGCCTCCATGAGGAGGGAGCCCCTGTCACCCTTCCAGGACCATCAGGCCCTCCTCAATACATGAGTTTCCATTTTCTTGAGGGGCCACTGCTGGAGGCCCCAGAGCTGTTGGGACGAGGGGTTTGCCCACACAGGTGACCCACTGCCAGACCCACGGGATAGGAAAGTCTCCTCCTCTTCCCAAGAGCTCCTGTCCGGCCCCCCCGGCCCAGACACCTGGGCACCAGTGGCAGGTCTCTCCCCTCACCCTGTGTTCTAGATCCTTCCAGGCTGTCCTGCTCCAGGGTCTAACCCTCACAGCAACGAGAAAGGCTCGGGGACAGGAGCAAGGGCAGCCTGTTCTTAAAGCCACCACCCAGTGGCCACACTTAAGTGGCCCAGCCGCGAGTACGGAAAGGATGGGATGACAGGATGCAAGGAATTGTTTATTGATCGTCCCCTTTTGGCAAGGTGCCAGTACCACAGGGACTCGGGAAGGGAATCAGCACTTGGAAGGGTCAGGAGGAAGCCCTGAGCAGCAGGGAACACACTCACCTCCTTGTGCAGCACGTGTGAGCAGGCCATGGGGTGAAGGTCACCGGGCTGCACGAGCTTCTGGCACATCAGACACAGCTTACAGGCAGCTGGGGTCTGGGACAGGCAGTGAGGGAACAGAAAGGAGCAGGGCAGTCAGACACCCAGCTCTGATCACATATTCAGCTGCAGCCTGAAGCCACAGGCTGCCCAGTCCCCCCCACTGCCACCGCACACTGCGAGAGCCGCTGACACATCTCGTCACCATTTCTCCTCTTCCCCAACATGAAGCACAATGGATCTGTGCCTCTAATCCTTTTTTCACCCCACCAGCCTGAGTAGCTGTGTGAGCAGAGAGCTCCCAGCTCTGTGGGCCCATCCCTTCAGCCACCTCCCAGCCAGGCTCCCTCCCTCCCTCTCCTTTCCACCAGGGACTCCAAACAGCCTTACGTGTGACGCTGTTCCAGGGTAAGCGACCTGGGCCGGGGGCAGGAACACGGGGGTGCTGATCTGAGGCAGTGGGGCAGAGAACATGGGGGCCCTGATCCGGCCGAGGGGCTGCAGCAGGACAAAGGAGGCACGTCACAACAGCCCAGGAGGAAAGGACAGATGAGTCACCCCGAGCCACCCCGGGGAAAACTGGTTACACCGCCGTCAGCAGAAAGGGAGCCCAGGGGACAGCCCTGACGCACAGCCCGAGCTCTGCAGGGATCCAGGGAGCAGGCACAGCTCTCCCTGCTCCCCAGGGCCCCCCTTCCAGCACCCCCACGCTGTCCCACCTGCGCCCCGGCCGCTGCCTGCTCCTGCTGCTCCACCAGCTTGGCTGCTACCAGCTGGTTCAGCTGCTCCATGGTCAGCCCGGCCATGGTCTTCCGAGCTGTCTTGATCTGCTGCAGGATGTTGGTGAGCTGGGCCCTGTGTGGACAGCAGCCTGCTAAGAGCTCCCAGTCCCCACAGACAGGGACCCTCGGCAAGGAGCCACCCCTGCCCCAGGGGAAGCCGTGTCACTGCAGAGGAGCGTGTGCTCTAAATGTCCACCTTCCCAAGTGAGGTGAATCACATGCTGAGGAGCTTCTCTCCCCAAAATGCTGGGAAAAGAGCAGGGAACACCCAGGGACAAGAGGGGGGCTCCTGGCTGTGCCCAGGCATCCCTGCTGTCCTTCAGAGCTCCAAGAGATCCTCATTCCCAGCACTGTGGCAAATCTGATGGAGACCACCAGCCTTTGCTCCACACCTTCAGCCTTCCTTCACTTCACCCAGATCCCACACGTGCCAGGAGGAGCCCTCCTTCCCCTGATCCCAGCTCCCACCTCACACACACAGGACCTTGCTCTCAGGGAAGAACGAGGCCAGGCACTTACTTGTTGCACTGTGGAAACCGAGTCAACAACTTCTCCAGCAGCTTCTCCAGCTTGTCGGCCGGCTGGGGCCTGTGGAACTCGGGAGCCACGTTCACCCCGCCCAGGCCGGGCGGAGGAGGGATGGAGGCGGCGGGAGGCATGTGAGGGCTGTGCGTGCCCATGAGCGATGCCACCACGGGGCTGTTCCTGCCCTGGGAGGCAGGCAGGGGTGGGGAGGGCTGGTTGGGCCTGGAGATGGCGGGGTTCAGCAGAGGGAAGGAGAGCGCCCGAGGATCGGCGCTGGGCATGACCATGGGAACGGGGACGGGCCCGATGGGGAAGGGGAGCCGGGGAGCAAGGGATGGGTTGGGCTGGAATGCCGTCAGCATGAAATCTGTCTGAGAAAGAAAAGCAGGGGAAGAAGGAAAGGCTGGTTAGAGTAAGCCCACCTGGGAGCAGGGTTGAGTGCCCTCCTCCCCAGCCAGACAGATGGGATGAACTGCAGTCACTGGCAGCTGGCAAGGGAAGGAGACCCTTCCCCTCCTCTCCAGGGATGGCAGGTAAAGCCCAGAGAGGCAGGGACTGGGCACAGGGCTCCAGAACACACCATCCCACACACACAGCACAGCAGGGCTGGGGCCAGGCCAGCGGGCAGCCTGTGCCAGGGCCTGGCCAGCCCCTGCCGTGGGGCTGGAGGGACACTCACTTCTGAGGGCGGAGGCGGCAGCGTCGGCGTCGGGATCTGTGGGAGGCTGCTCAGCTTTGTGCCATTCCTCACCATCTGGATGTGGTCGTTGAATTGATCCTGCCAGAGAGGGAAGAAAACGGACACATTCATCAAACCTGAGGAAGTCTGGGGCATTCTCAGCCCCAGGGCAGCTGCAGGTCCTAAAGTGGCACTGTTGGGTTCCACAGGAGTCAGGAGAATGAAAAAGGACCCAAAGGGAGAAACTAAGTGCCTCTGCCAATAGCCCATCACAGATCATGTCCACAGGGTTGATCCACAGGCATGAGCCTGAGGAGGCAGAAGATCTCTGCAGCTGCTTCCAAAGGCTGACTGACTGTGCCATGCTTTTGGGCACACAGCTTTTTGGGGGCTCGGTCCTCTCCTGGTTGAAGCTAGGCATGGAAAGTAGTGTGGATGTGAAGAACTGCTCACTGCTAAGATGGGAGAGTTCAGCAGGGACTTACTCGGACACTTTCCTTGGTCATTCGTATCCTGTTCAGCCTCATCTCCCACTCCTGCTTTGGCCTCATCGTCTCCAGCGTGGGCGGCGCAGACCTGCAAGCACAACTAAACTTTCCCACTTGCAACTGTGCTCTCACTGACAGCAAAGTGGGAGCAAATAACCCCCCCACAACCTCCTCCCTTCCCCTCATCCAGCTGGGCAAGAAGGGCTCACCCCCAGGGTGAGGAACACCATGAAGGGAGAGCCTGTGGTGCTACCAGAGAGTGACTGGGGGACACACAAGGACACCACAGACAACAGCCCTCACTGACTGTGCTCAGCAGATGTTACTCAGTAGTGTTACTCAACAGTAACAGGGGATAAGCACAGCCCCACATATCCTCATGTGACATAACTGAATCACACTGTTTTAATAAGAAGCCCTCAGGAAAACCTGAACTGTTCCAGTCCAACCTCCAGCGTAAGCAGAGGAAGAGGAGATGGGATGTAGGGACACCTGAGTTACCCTCCCTGCCACTCCTGACACTGCACAGACTTACTTGAGGTAGGTGAGGTGCAGCTCTGCTTCTTTCTCTGCTTCTTCTAGTTTCAACACCAGCAGCTCCTTCCGGCTCTCCAGGGACAGGATCTAATGGAGAGAGGCCCCACATGAAGAGTATTTTCTGTACTGACTCATTTCTTGCTGCCAGACCATAATCTCTCCACAAGAGTCATGCTCAGTGCAGCAGGCACTGCTCCCCACTAATGTTTACTGCACTGGGACTTGTTTATTCCTCCTCTTGTCTCACAAAGTGGGACTTGGCCTCGTCCTCAACTGCTCCCGATTTCACAGAACCATCCCTTAACCATCTGGAATCTCAAACCAATCACTTTGCAGGGAAGGAGTTACCTCTGCTTTCCAGGCCCGTTCTGTCTCCTCAAGAATGTTCCTGTTGATTTCATTGTGCTGGTTCTTCAGCTTGTCCAGCTCCATCTCCCACAGCTGCCTGCACACAGAAGAGAAGGAGCCTCCTTAGGCTCAGGCACCGGAATGGCACGGAGCAGGAGTGCTGACAGATTCCCACACAGGAGCTCTGCATGGGGTGGAACTGTGGAAGATCAGCAGCTTCCAGACCGTGACACCAGGCACCATGCACCCTGGGCTGCAGGGGTTACTGTGCCAGGAGTGAGCTGTTCCAGAGCACACAGCCAACCAGTGTGCAAACACACTGGGCAAAACGAGAGGAGGGGAATTCCCCTTGGAATTCGGTCCGATTCCAGAGCAGGGTGCACAGGTCTGACCCAGGAACCAACCTAAGCAGCACATGGAACTATGCTGTTCTGATCCTGGAGATGTCCAAA